CTTCCACGTTTCGTGGCCCCTATAGGGAGCTCCACCGAATGGCCCCAGTGGCGTTGCGTTCGGCATGCCTCCCCACCCACCCATTTCGGCACACCCCTCACACGTCCGTGGCCCCATAGGGAGCTCCACGGAAGGTCCCAGTTGGCTGCACGGTCGCATGCCTCACCACCACCCAGTTCGGCACACCCTCACACGTTCGTTGGCAAAATACACCGCACTCACATCTAGACCCCTGGGTGGGTGTATGTGCGGCCGTTTTTGCGCTGTCATGTGCGCGCATGTGCGCGGCATGTGCCAGTCATGTGCCAGGCCTGTGCGGTCCTTCTTGGATGGACCTCCTACTGTGCACGTCGTGCCCGGGCATGTGCGGGGGCATGTGCGCTGTGTTTTGATGTATCCATCATACGCACATGCACGCACAGTCCGACGCACATGCGCGCACATGCCTGCACATGCGGGAGGTGTTCGAGAATCGCAGAACTGTCATCGGCACATGCACGCACATGCCTGTGCAACCTCTCTTCGGGAGGCCGCGCGGGCCCGCACATGCACGCACATGCGGTGAAGCGCGCGGGCGCACATGCGTGCACATCCCAATGCACATGCACGCTCATGCCCTAGGAGCTGTCAGGGACCCCTGTGCCTCCAATGCTTCCTGGCCTTCGCAGAGCTAACCTGGGGCGCGCCAGGGCTTCCTGAAAGAGTTTGTTGTGCGTTTAGACTCGCCCGCTGCTGGCGGGGGCGGTTCTTCGTCCGGTTCGTGAGCTGGCGGTGGCGCGCCCGCCTAATAAAATCCTCTCCCGCGCGCCTTCTCAGCTCGGCCGGAGAAACAGTGACGGGGGGGGGGAGGTGGAAGGGGGGGAAGAGGGGGGGGCGGAGGAGGCGGGCGCCCCCGGCTCGGCCGGCCCGCCTGCCTGTTCGGCTCGGCCAGAGGAGAAGGAGGAGGAGGAGGAGGAGGGGGAGGAGGAGGAAGAGGAGGAGGAGGAGGAGGAGGAGGAGGAGGAGGAGGAGGAGGAGGAGGAGGAGGTGAGAGTTGCGAGGATGTCTCAGGCGAAAGTGGCTTGACGGCCCGAGCTCAGGGAATCTCGGAATCGCTGGCCTGGCTCGGCCACCGGCGAGCTCGGCCTGTGCGAATACTGTGCGTACCTGTGCAGTGCATGTGCGGGACGTGCAAGAATGCCGGGGCCGGCGTTCGTCTCCGGACGCCGGCGCGTTCGCGTCCGGCCAGTTCCGCGTGAGACGTCGTCGGCAATTTGGAGGCCGACGTGCTTTGACATGAAGTGATCTGGCCACCTTCGCCTGAGACATCCTCGCAACTCTGGTCTCGGAGATGCCCTGCCCCATGGTGGCCCGGCCACTTTCGCTTGAGACATCCTCGGGACTCTGGGTTTCGAGACGCCCTGAGCTGAGGTGGTTAGACCACTTTCGCATGAGACATCCTCGCAACTCTGACCTCAGAGATCTCCTGCCCCATGCTGGTCAGGCCACGGTCGCCTGAGACATCCTCGCAAGTCTCGATTCCGATATGCCCCGAGCTGAGGTGGTCAGCCACTGTCGCCTGAGACATCCTCGCAACCCTGATCTCAATGATGCCCTGCTCGATAGTGTCTCGGCCCCTTTCGCCTGAGACATCCTCGGAACTCTGGGTTCCGAGACGCCCTGAGTTGAGGTGGTTAGACCACTTTCGCTTTAGACATCCTCGCCCGAGATGCCCTGAGTTGAGCTGTTCAGGCCACTTTTGCCTGAGACATCCTCGCAACTCTGACCTCAATGATGCCCTGCTCCATAGTGTCTCGGCCTTTTCGCCTGAGACCCTCGCAACTCTGGGTTCTGAGATGCCCTGAGCAGGTGGTCAGGCCAGTCCTGCCTGAGACATCCTCGCAACTCTGGGCTCCGAGATGCCCTGGGCTGAGGTGGTCAGACCACTCTCCCCAGAGACATCCTCGCAACTCTGACCTCAGAGATCTCCTGCCCCATGGTGGTCAGGCCACTTTCGCTTGAGACATCCTCACAACTCAGACCTCGGAGGTGTCCTGCCCCATGGTCGTCTGGTCACCTTGACCAGCGACATCCTCGCCACTCTGGTTTCCAAGATGCCCTGCCCCATGGTGATCCGGCCACGCTTGCCTGAGACATCCTCGGAACTCTGGGTTGCGAAATGCCCCGAGCTCAGGTGGTCAGGCCACTATCGCCTGCGACATCTCTGCGGCATGTGCGGGCATGTGCGTCTATGCTTTCAGAGTTTTGCTTGACCGTGCATTCGACTGTGCGTCGGACGGTGTGGCATGTGCGCGCATGTGCGGCAATGCTGTTGAGGCTTTTGTATATTTGCACGGGCATGTGCATGCGACTGTGCGGCATGTGCCTGCATGTGCGGCCCCTTCCGGACCACAATTTCAAAGTGAGCACTATAGAAGTGAGCGCTATAGAAGTGAGTCCGGTGTAGGGAGCTCCACCGAAGACCCCAGTGGCTGCGTTCGCATGCCTCCCCACCACCCATTTCGGCACACCCCTCATACGTTTCGTGGCCCCATAGGGAGCTCCACCGAAGGCCCCAGTGGCTCCCCACCACCCATTTCGGCACACCCCTCACACGTTTCGTGGCCCCATAGGGAGCTCCACCGAAGACCCCAGTGGCTGCGTTGGCATGCCTCCCCACCACCCATTTCGGCACATCCCTCATACGTTTCGTGGCCCCATAGGGAGCTCCACCGAAGGCCCCAGTGGCTCCCCACCACCCATTTCGGCACACCCTTCACACGTTTCGTGGCCCCATAGGGAGCTCCACCGAAGGCCCCAGTGGCTGCGTTCGCATGCCTCCCCACCACCCATTTCGGCACACCCCTCACACGTTTCGTGGCCCCATAGGGAGCTCCACCGAAGGCCCCAGTGGCTGCGTTCGCATGCTTCCCCACCACCCATTTCGGCACACCCTTCACACGTTTCGTGGCCCCACAGGGAGCTCCACCGAAGGCCCCAGTGGCGCGGTGCCTATGAGAAGCGGGGCCTAGTTTGCGTGCCCCCTCCTTCGTCTCATATCCGTGCGGTACTCGCAGCTGCATATGGTTGGGTCCTTCGCCAGGCTAATTGTTGTTGTTGTTGTTGTTGTTGTTGTTGTTGTTGTTGTTGTTGTTGTTGTCGTTGTCGTTGTTGTTGTTTGTTGTTGTTGTTTTCGTTGTTGTTGTGTTTGTTGTTGTTGTTGCTGTTGTTGTTGGTGGTGTTGTTGTTGTTGTTGTTGTTGTTGTTGTTGTCGTTGCCGTCGTCGTTGTTGTTGTCGTTGTTGTTGTTGTTGTTGTTGTTGTTGTCGTTGTCGTTGTCGTCGTTGTTGTTGTTGTTGTTGTTGTTGTTGTTGTTGTTGTTGTTTTTGTTGGTGTTGTTGTTGTTGTTGTTGTTGTTGTTGTTGTTGTTGTTGTCGTTGTTGTTGTTGTTGCTGTTGTTACTGCTGCTGCTGCTGCTGTTGTTGTTGTTGGTGTTGGTGTTGTTGTTGTTGTTGTTGTTGTTGTTGTTGTTGTTGTTGTTGTTGGTGTTGTGTTTGTTGTCGTTGCTGTTGTTGTTGTTGTTGTTGTTGTTGTTGTTGTTGTTGTTGTTGTTGTTGTTGTTGTTGTTGTTGTTGTTGTTGTTGTTGTTGTTGTTGTTGTTGTTGTTGTGTTGTTGTTGTTGTTGTTGTTGTTGTTGTTGTTGTTGTTGTTGTTGTTGTTGTTGTTGTTGTTGTTGTTGTTGTTGTTGTTGTTGTTTGTTGTCGTCGTCCCCCCTGCGACCCACCCCGCGACCCGCTCGCGACCCACCCCGCGACCCAGCCCGCGAGCCACCCCGAGACCCAGCCCGCGACCCAGTCCGTGGCCGTGCTGCATCGGAGGCCAAGGCGGTCCCTGGGAACACCAGCGCCCCCCCCCTAGTCCAGACCCCTGGCTCCTCCTCCTCCTCCCCTCCACCTCCCTACTCCTCCTCCTGGCTTCTCCTCCTCCTCCTCCTCCTCCTCGTGGCTCCTCCTCCTCCTCCTCCTCCTCCTCCTCCTACTCCTCCTCCGCTCAGTCGTCCTTCGAGGCGCCGCGGCGAGGCGAGGAGGTACAGTAGCTTTGGTCCGCTGCGACCCGAGCTTCCCGACACGGCCCAAGAGGCCCCTCCCAGGACAGGCGAGGAGGTACAGTAGCTTTGGTCCGCTGCGACCCGAGCTTCCCGACACGGCCCAAGAGGCCCCTCCCAGGACAGCCCACGAGCCTCGCAGGAGGAGCCCCGGGACGGCGTGGGGAGGCACGACACACTATCCGTCCGTAGGTTTTTCGCTGCGATTGGGGTTCTCATTTCTTCGGGTCGATGCCGGCCGAAGACAGCTCTGGGTGCCTCCAAGATTGCCCCTGGCCTGCTCAGGCGGCTCCCGTGAGGTTCCCAACATGGCCCCAAGACGGCCCAGGAGGGCCTCAAGACGGCCACAGGGAGCCCCAAGAGGGCCCCCCCAAAGGCCCCAAGGGGTTACCAAGAGAGCCCAAGTGGGCCATCGGAGGTTGCAGATATGGCCCAAGAGGCCCCATGACAGCCCAAGCCTTCCAAGACGGCCCAAGATGCCCCGCTGGACGGCCGTAGATGCTCCCGAGAGGATCCCCAAGACGGCCTGAGGAGGCAACATTGCGTAAACGATTCTTCACACCAAGGCTCCCAAGAGCGAAGGGTTACGTAACAACTTTTAGCAGAAAGGTTTCCAAGAGCGATCGATGACGCAAAGGAGATCTTCATACCAAGGTCCAAAGAGAGAACGGTGAAGCGAACATCCTCTTAAAGCCAAAGCCCTCCAGAGCGAACGTTGCCATAAGCCCTCTCGGGCAAGTTCCTGAAACGCCCTTTCCGCTCCCGTGCCGGCCCAGGTTCTAACACGCCCTTTCCGTGCAGGCGCGGCGGTGGTGTCAGTCGTCCGCCCGTGTTTCTCTCTACCCCCACGTCCTCGGGCGTGCTTCTGCTCTGCGTGCGTCCCCATCCTTGCTACTGTCCCTGCCTCGCCAGCAGAGGGCCTGAGCCTGCACCCGTACGGGAACTTCGTGATCCAGCACATCCTCGAGCACGGTGGGTGGTGGGGGGGGGAAAGGAGGAGGAGGAGGAGGAGGAGGAGGCGGAGGAGGAGGAGGAGGAGGAGGAGGAGGAGGAGGAGGATGAGGATGAGGATGAGGATGAGGATGAGGAGGAGGAGGAGGAGGAGGAGGAGGAGGTGGAGGAGGAGGAGGAGGGAGGAGGGAGGAGGAAAGCGCGGGTCCTTGCGCCTGCCGCTCTCCTCCTGAGCCTCCTCGCTGGCGCGAGGGGCAAACGCACCGACCAGGACCAGCAAGCCGCGGGATCTCGTCGACGCCGATCTTGGCCATGATCCACGCCAGCTGACACGGGTTCGCAAGGATGATCCAGGATTGGTTCGGGGGCGGCCAAGAGGGGGGTGGATGACTCGGGACCAGGGTGTGTGGGTATCCCGGTGGGGTCCATGATGATTTCATTGGCGCCTCCTCTTATTTCGATGCGTCCCTTGGCCCCCCCTGGGCCCTGGGACGCGCACATGCCGCCAGCCATGATTTGCGCCGCCCCCCTCTTGGACGCTCCCCTCTTGGCCGCCCCCGAATGGACGTTGAACACTGTGGACGGTGACCAAGATCGACACGCCGTCTCCTCGTTCAGTCTTTGACATCGTCCTTGTTTTCTTCCACTCTTTCTCGCTCTGAGGCTGCGCCCTCCCCCTTTCCTCCCCCTCAATGGTTAATCCAAGCTTCGCGCGGCCCGCTTAGCTTCGACCGGAAGAGGTGCGCTCTCGACCCGCGAATCAAGAAATTGTTCTCTTCCCCTCCACCAGTGGTACTGTCCAGTGCGCATCGCAGGTGTCTGGCTGGAGGGCGCAGATCTGTGTCCAGCTCTCAGGAGGGGGAAAAACACACAGACACAATTAATCGTCGATTCCTAGGAAAATTTTGGGAAATATGGGAAGTGGGGGGGAAGAAAAACACCTAACAAATATGGGAAAATATGGGGGCTATCTTTATTTGTGTGTATTTATTAGTGTGTCCTGGGGCCTCTTAAAGCTCTCCCTCTCCCCCCCTGCGGATCCTGTTCCCGCCTCCTGCGCTCCTGTCGTTGCTGCCAGCTGTGGCAGCACCGGTCGCCATGGCGGCTGGTCGGCGACAGAACCAGTCAGGAGGGACAAAAAACACACAGACACAAGCAGTCGACGATTCCATGAAAACATGGGAAAATGTGGGAAGTGGGGGGGAAGACAAAAACCCAGAAAATATTGGGAAACATGGGAAGCTTTCTATCTGTGTGTATTTATTTGTGAGTCCCAGGGCCCCTTCCATGGCGGCCGGTCGGCGACAGAAGCTGCCTCGGGCGCGCGCTGTCCGGGTGCGCGGCGGTTTCGCGCGGTGGCTTTCCAAGCTGATGATGCTGCGACCGCCTGTGGTCGATCCCTCCTCCCTCCTCCCTCCGACTCCCTCCTCCCTCCTCCCTCCTCCTCCTTCTCCTCCTCCTCCTCTTCCTCCTCCTCCTCCTCCTCCTCCTCCTCCTCCCCCTCCTCCTCCTCCTCCTCGGTCGAGCTTGCTCCGCCACTTGTGTAGACTCAGAACTGCAACAAGGGATCTCGAATGGCAATGATTACCGCGAAGTGCGATCCGGCAACCGGTAATAATCTCTGCGACGAGATGTGGAAAGTGTCTCGCAAAGCGCTCGGCTAAGCGTGCTGGGGCTTCTCCTGATACGCCCGAGCTCACAGACCCTGAAACGGTTCGTGTCGCGATGGTTACGGAGGATGTTGTTGTAATGCTTAGTTGCGCAGCAGTAGTGCAACCACGCTCGCACTACACAACAGTGCATACATAACAGCACATATTATATAACACGTATCGAGTGGCCCCGCAAAACAGGTGTAAGTCGTTTCGCTAAATACCTCTCCGAATACTCAAACGGATAGTGGGAGAAACGACGAGCATAACATACTTTACCATTAGCCTGGCGAAGGACCAAACCATATGCAGTTGTGAGTGCTGCACTTATGAGTACCGTCTTCGGTGGAGCTCCCTGTGGGGCCACGAACCCTTTGAGGGGTGCGCCGACATAATGGTGGGACTGCATGCGAACGCTGCCACTGGGGCCTTCGGTGGAGCTCCCTATGGGGCCACGAACCCTGTGAGGGGTGCGCCGAAATGAGGGTGGAACTGCATGCGAACGCTGCCACTGGGGCCTTCGGTGGAGCTCCCTGTGGGGCCACGAACCCTGTGAGGGGTGCGCCGAAATGAGGGTGGAACTGCATGCGAACGCTGCCACTGGGCCCTTCGGTGGAGCTCCCTATGGGGCCACGAACCCTGTGAGGGGTGCGCCGAAATGAGGGTGGAACTGCATGCGAACGCTGCCACTAGGGCCTTCGGTGGAGCTCCCTATGGGGCCACGAACCCTGTGAGGGGTGCGCCGAAGTGAGGGTGTGGTGGGGACAGTGGGTGCAGTGGGACCGCGGTGGGGACAGTGGCGGGGACAGTGGGGACAGCGCGATAGCGATGGGGGCATTGGTGGGAACAGTGGGGACAGTGGTGGGGACAGTGGGGACATTGGGACAGTTGTGGGGACGGTCGGGACAGTGGAACACTGGTGGGGACAGTGGTGACGGGGACACTGGTGAGGGGACAGTGGGACAGTGGTGGGGACAGTGGGGACAGTGGGACAGCGGTGGGGACGGTGGTGGTGGGGACAGTGGTGAGGGCGGTGGTGAGGACGGTGGTGGGACAATGGGACAGTGGTACAGTGGGGACAGCGGTGGGGACAGGGGACAGTGGGACAGTGTGATGGGGGCAGTGGGGAAAGGGACAGCACACTGGGACAGCGGTGGGGACAGTGGGACAGTGGCGGGGACAGTGGGGATGGTGGGACAGTGGTGGGGACAGTGGGGACAGTGGGGAGAATGGGACTGTGGTAGGGACAGTGGGGGGGACTGGTGGGGACAGTGGGGACAGTGCGACAGTGGTGGGGGCACTGGTGAGGACAGCGGGACTGATGGGAACAGTGGGACAGCGGTGGGGACAGTGGGGACAGTGGTGGGGACTGTCGTGGTGGGGACAGTGGTGCGGGCGGTGGTGAGGACGGCGGAAGGGGGGATTCGTGATCCCCCCCTGGTTTTCCGAGGGGGGGGGGGCAGAGGGGGGCTCGAACCCGTGACCCCTCCGGTTTTCCGGAGGGGAAGGGGGGGGGTGCTCGACTTGGTAGTGACCTCCTCGGGTTTTCTGGAGGGGGGGGGGCGTTTGGGTGGGGGGGCGCCGGGGGAGGAGGAGGAGGGGGGGGGGTCGAGCAGGGGGGGAGGGACTTTGCGGAGGGGGGGGGGGGGGCCCACAGGCTCCGGAGGAGGAGGAGGGAGAGTGTCCCACAGCAGAGCGGCGGTGGATCCACGCTCGCTCTCCCAAACCTCGGGAGGGCCGCCCCGGGTATTTCTCGGGGGCGCCCCCGTCCGCGGAGCTCCGTGGACGGTTTCCAGACAATTTCGCTACCGAGGAGCCCCACATACACCTTAGGCGATGCTTAAGAAAACTCAAGTTTTCGGCCAGAGTCTCGATTATTCTTAACGTTTCAATGTAGATCCTAAGATTTGAATGGACATTCTGGTTTTTGTTCAAATTCTGAGACTATGAGTTTCTTAACCCACGATTTCTAAAGCATTTCGCAGGGTGTACTCATGTTATGTCGGGGATGATGATCGCTGAAGTGAAACATGCGAGAATGATGCTGGTGGCCGTTGCCCCGCCGATACCGTTGGCGGCGCCGGTCAAGAGGAGAGGAGGTCACCGAGGGTCCTTTTCCAGGGCGGCAACAGGCACTTCGGTTACGCAAGACGTGAAACGATATCTTCGCCGAAGAGCATCCGACAGCGAAAATCCCGTGGACCGAGTATCCAGGAGCGCTCTTCGAAAGAAAATCTCTGAGGGGGGGCGTCCATGGCACATTCGGGCGGCATGAACGGCGCGGGTGGCAAGGCAGCACCTACAATATTCGAGCCAGTTTGAGCCAGGGTGGCTGCAGTTCTGACTGCCACACATGCCGCGCTTTTTCCGCCCTGGCACGGACGCCTGCCAAGCTCTCAGACCCTGGCACGCATAGGGGCCGCGGTGAGGGACCACCCCCTGCGCACCCCCTATGTTGTCCTAGCACGCATAGAGGCCGCCGTCAGGGGCCCCCCCCTGCGCACCCTCCACGGTGTCAAGACGGTGCCACGCCTGCCAAGCCCTCGGACCATGGCACGCATAGGGGCCGCGGTGAGGTACCACCCCGTGCGCACCCTCTGTGGTGTCATGGAAGTGCCACGCCTGGCAAGCCCTCAGACCCTGGCAAGCATACGGGCCGCGGTGAGGGACCACCCCCTGCGCACCCCCTATGATGTTGTCCAGAGAGTGCCACGCCTGCCACGCCTTCAGACCCTGGCACGCGTAGCCGCGGTGAGGGACCACCCCCTGCGCACCCTCTATGGTGTCGAGAAAGTGCCACGCCAGCCACGCTTTCAGACCCTGGCACGTGTCCCAATGTGTGTATGCTTGTGTGCGCGTGTGTTGCATGCGTGTCTTATGGCTTGTGTGTCTTGTGCATGTGTCGGGCCCTCCTCTCCTAAGGGTGAAAGACTGCGTGGATTTTTTTGACTGGTCTCCACTTATCGCGCGTCGAAGAAACCCGATTCGCGCGCTGATTATATTGAGCTTCTAGACGCGATAATCGCATCGTTTTGCGCGCGGGCGCATACCGCGTGCCAAGAGAGAGCAATGTGTCATTCGCGCGCGAGCGGGCGTTTTTGGGCGCGAAAGGCACGTGTCTATTACAAAACGCGTTAAAGCTATGGTGCGCAATGACCCCCCCTTCTTCTACCTTTTCCCCTTCCACCCCCCTGTCCCCGCTGCCCCCGTCAACCGGTGCGTCTGGTCGTTTTTTGTTTCTTTACGAATTCCTTTCGGGGATCCTTGTCGGACCCCCCCGGGCCGCCAGGGTGCCCTCGCGCGGCGCCGAAGGGCTCGGAAAGTGCGCGACAGGGCCCCGGGGGAGTCTCACGAGGCCCCCAACATGGT